CAAAGTAATCAGAAAGAGTGTTTGCTATATGGCTACACAAACACAGAGGAGCGTTACTTCCAGCCCCCTCAACTCAGCTAGGATTTTAAAAAAACGCCGCATATTTAAGAGCGAAAACGTAATAAGTCGCTTTCGGTCCAATTCGGAAATGGTTCTCTCTTCATTAGCTGCTCATGGGGTAGAGAAGCCTTCTTGACAGACAGTCGGTCAGGCGTTTATCGAGTTCTCCGCCTTTTATCGAACCCGAAGGTTCATTGCCGTGAACATAATAGCCCACTACTAGGCCCATAACTTTAGCCAGATGAGTCCAGTCCACATCAAGACACTCTATTATTCTCTTATTCTTTTAATATTCTCTTCTCACCTAGAGCTGGGGCAGCAGAGTGGGTATAGCGACTGGCTACGGACTGGACGACTGAGGGGTGGGAGTTCGAGTCCCAGTAGGGTCAAGAACTTTCTCTTCTCAATCGTCAAGACCGTCTCTAGGGTCCACCCAACCTCCTAATCAATGGGTACCGGGGGTAAAGCGGCCGGGGCGTGAAGCTGACCAGTCGCCTCCAGCTAGTGCCGAGGTCAAGAAAATGTGGATCTATACATCCACTTCCCCACACGGCTTCATGGTGTAGTGCTTAATTCGTTGAGCACAGGGACTATACCTCTACCTCCCACCTAACCATATGACCCCCAAGTAATCTCCTTCCCTCACATCTTCAGACCATATTTTGAAGGAATTTGTCATCTTACCCATACGTGCTACACGTCCTGCCCATTATATTTTTCTTGATTTAACCATTATACCAATGTTAAGAGAAGAGCATAAGTTATGGAGCACGTGTTAACATTCATTTCATTCCCTTCGAAGTACAGGGAAGGGAATTACCCAGCTTCTGCTCCTAATTTTCGTAACGGATAAAGCACCAAGTCGCCGATCACAGTGGCCGCGCACTCTGAGGCATGAACTGTCTTCACTCGTTCGAACCCTGGGATAGTGGGTTCGAATCCCACTCAAGGAATGGATATCTGTGTGTGTTTATTGTGTAGGTGGCGGCCTTGCGACCGGCTCATCCCCCGTCCAAGGAGTCCTACCGTCTGTGTAAAAAGGATTATGAAACTGAAGAAGAGGCCAAGGCCCAACAAAGGGCTGTAGAGCTATTGATGAATGAATGAATGAATGAATAAAGCATCAAATACTCGACAATGTTCAAACCAGTCACCAGATTTTGTTATGCGATGTCGAAAAATACAATCGCCTGTTTCTGTAAAATTAATTGCGATAAAAGTTCAAATACCCTGTGTTTGGACGGTAACTACTTTCCTAAGAAATGCTAAATAAGATTATGAGGCAGGAGACCGACCTAAATAAATACAACAGCTCCAGCCTAGTTAGCTATTGGTCCGGAAACGTCGTATATAATTTTTAAACAACAGACAAGGAACTACTCTAGGTCTGTAGAACGACGTCCTTCAAAAGATAAGTCACTCAGTGTGTGAAGAAAATCCAAGACATTCATGGGAAAAAAAAAATCATTATTGTGTTCAAGAGGGCCACCCACTGGGCCCTATCCTGAGCCACTTCAATCCCCTCGACACCCTCCCACCCGGCTTCTTTAAGATCCACAATACTATCTTGCCAACTACGTCCAGGTTTCTCAAGCGGGCTCCTCCCTTCAGGTTTTCGACAAAGTTTGGCACGCACTTCTCACGGCCCACCACTTGATCCTACTTTAACTGATCACCGTAATAGTAAATTGGTAAAAGTTTGCTTCCTCCCACTTACGTCTAAACGTCCTCCTCTGCGCCGCGTTCTCAAACACCCGATGACCGCAAGGGTTCAATTGAAGAAACTCTGGTCGTGAATCTCAAGGGGCTTGGCGCCAAGACTAAGTGATTGGCGGTAAACTACCGGGCGTAAAGTAACTGTGACTGTGTGTAGTTTGTTGGTGAGTAAGTGAGTCAGTCAAGAGTCGCTGTAGCTGAGGTCGGGGACAGATCCGCAACCCAGAGTAAGAGGAAACTGCACTGTTGGAAGCCGCTACCGAGCAACGGCCAGGGAAGACCGAGAAGACTTTATGTGTGCTGTAGTTACAGTAATGTTTGGAGTGTGTAACTCATTAAGAATGTCGTAGTTATTTGTAGTTAAGTTCTGTAAGTGTTCAATAAATCCGATTACCCCTTCTATACTCACTGTAATATCGTGACAATATGGTCACACAAGTGACTTCCTCATACTGTGACGATTTATGTACCGGTATCCCGTGCAAAAAAAAAAAAAAAGCATAACGACGTGCCCACTTTTTCGAACTTACTAGAAGGGAAGAGATTTTGTTACAAATCCCACGCCATTAATGCACTACAGGCACCAACTACAGCGATATCGGTCATTACGATATGGCTATGTTAGATTACGTAATGGTCAGGAGTCATTCCATCAAGATGCGGGCAATCTCGTTTGCAAAACACCTGACTTACTGCGTATCATCTTCCTCGGTTATTAAAGCTTTGAAAACGAATTCCCGCTACTTGGTGCTCAAGGGATTGTACTCTTCACAGTAAAATCACATCCTATATCCATGTCCCAAATAAAAAACACTTCCATTTTAAATAACGTCACTTTCACTCGTTCCTTACCTTAAGCGGTAGCGTAGTGGTCAAGGCACTATGCTACAAGTCGGAAGGTCGCGGGTTCAAATTCCGATGAGGTCATTGGAGTTTTTTCAATTGACCTAATCCTTCCGGCCGCACTATGGCCCTGGGGTTCACGCAGCCTCTGAGTGAGGCTGACAACCTTACCGCTATCTTTGAGCCGATTGTCTAGATCAGTCGTGTCAAACATGCGGCCCCCATAACCACAAAGTGCGGCCCCTCATTTTTTAGAGCTAATTGATATTAAAATGAATATTAAAATGTTAGTAGAAATATTTTTTTGTAAAGACAATTTTCCAACAGACCAGAAGACAAGAAGTCTCACGCAGACATAAATTAACAGGCTGCAGGAAATTCAATGTTTTGCTATTTCTAACTAATTTCTTGTGTAATCTCTCTTTTTACATATTGAAAAGTGATTTGATACTTGTCAAAAATGGCATTCTCTTGCTTTTTAAAACTGTAAGATATGTGACTTTAGGTAATTATATTGAAATTATTCCTAAATAATAAATAGAATTAAATTTCTTTGTATCAAAATCTAATGTATATTTTTATTCTGAAGTGCGGCCCTGGACTATTATTTATAGGGCTGAGGTGGCCCTCGGTACAAGTTGAGTTTGACATGCCTGGTCTAGATAATGTGGGACCCTCAACGTCTCACAACCCTATGGGCCTTCATGACCTGTTACAGGGATAGCTTTCCTTACTTTATTTTATGATTCAACAAGTGTACATTATCAAATAACTTGAAACAATTATTGGAAAGTAATGTTGTTATTGGCCGGTCACGGTAGCCGAGCGCTCTTCGCTCGCTTGGAAACCGGGATCGTGGGTTCGAATCCAACTCAGATCATGGATATTTAGTTNTATACCGAACGTCCTGGTTGAGTCACCCAGATATCCAAGATAAAGGCCATCCTGACTAAGATTTTCGTGGTATTCCTCAGTCCCTGGAGTAAAATGTTGCCTTACAATGTCTCGACCGCTTCCTTCTGCACCTCCCCCAATTCATTATTTACTATTGACTTTCCATTTGGGGTTACATACCAGACGAAATTGAGATATGTACCATAAAGCACCCGGAGAGAAAGAGCAGGTAAATTAAGTTAGGTTTAAGTTTCTTGGGGTGGGGTGAGACTATGTCCACTTGGTACGTCGGCCACTAATTGGCCTATTGTACCAGCTTCGGATGATAGACGATGAGTGTGGAACAGTCGGTGGAATGAGAATTGGCAGGGTAAACTGTAGTACTCGGGGAAAACCTGCCCCAGTGCCACTTTGTCCACCACAAATCCCACATGACCTGACCTAGGCTCGAACCTGAGTCACTGCGCTGGGAAGCTCACGACTAATTTCCAGAGGTAAGCACATAACCAGCTACAGCATGTACGTAAAAGCTGCCACCACGTTTCCAAATGATATTATAAAAGTACAGAATGTACACTTCATAGAATTGTGACTGAGATTATTAAAATTACAATGATTATAATATCAATATTAAATTCGCATGCAACTCTTCTCTGGATTGAGGTTGAGTTTGAGTATGAGTATGAGGGGTGAGCCATAAAACTGGCCCTAGCACTGCGACCATGGATTGCGGCTAGTTCTTTCTAAGGGACCCAACAGTGTCTCCCTCCTCGCCTGTGGACGGAAACAGACCCGGTTTCCGAAACGTTCTGTCTTCTAGTTTTTAGAAACTCGGACGATGGACAGACTCCGAAAACCCAACAATTCTGACAAGACATTTTGCCTCACAAAAGTCTATAAATTTTACTTAAAACAATTTTTGTTTCGGTGAGCGTTTAGCAACGTTAACAGAAGCAAGCAAATTTGCGGCCGAACTGGCTGAAATTTTAAAGTAATATACGATTTAATTTGGAGAGTTTCTAAGACAAACCCTGTTGAAAACTGTCCTCGTGATTATGCTTCAATTCTGAATCGTTTAAACTTCACGACATTATTCCAAACGAGGACAATGCGATGAATCATTTCTTGCTAATGATTTAAGGGCAAAATCAACTGTCAATCTATTACGTATGCTCTTAGCACATTATACACTTTTTCAAGTTCAGGCATCATAAAGACCTGTGTCCAATGCACCACTGCACAAAATCGACAAATCTAGCTCAACTGCCATACGGCGTACAGGAACTAATTTAAGAGTATTTGTATGAAGACATCAGCTATCGCGACTTATAACAGCTTTGATCACTAAAACATAGTAATTACAGGTGAAAAAGAGAAACGCTGTATGTCATAAAAGAAAACGATCTCTTGAAATAAACAAACAAATAAACAAACGTCAATGAAACTTAAAGGTTCGAACTAAAGCTTAAATAAAAAGTATGACATACCCGGTCAATTTTCTTCTTGTTAGCTATCGGGTGTGTCTTCATGTCGGATTCTGCAAGGCGATTGAATTTCTGCATGCGTTCCTTTACACTTATCTTCTGCTCGGAGTCCGCATCAGGTGCATCCTAGCGTGCAACACAAACCAACGAAAGCGTGCAGATGTAAAAGAACGAATCACAAAAATATAAAACAAACAAATTAAACTGAGAGTGAAAAGTTACAAACACCCTGGTGATGTATGGCAACTCGATATAATAAAATTAGCTAAAAAACACACACACAAGAAGACAGTTAAAAATCAAACCGTATCATTCACGAATAATTCAAACAGTGCTCTCACTCATTATTATGGGAGAGTTGAGGTTCTCAAAAAGTCACATCCTAGAAAACAGAAGGCCTAATCTTCACTGCTCGTTACTCTACAGATACTAGCAGTCAAGTTCTGAGCGGAAGTCTGAGCGTCGTTGTTTGTGGGGCACAAATGCAATCATAAATTATATTACTATATACGTACATACTTAATGTAAGAAGTATAAATTTATTGGAAAATAATTCCAATCGAGGAGGCGTGGATTACCACGGTGGCCTACTGGTTGGTTCAAAGAAACATTTTAGTACTGAAAGAAGGGATAGACAAATGCAACGGTGAAAGAGGAAATGGAGGACGAAGAGGAGGGTGCCTGAATTGGCTCCCCATGCCTGCCATGTGTAATAAGATGACATTAATTTCCAGGATACCTATGTCCAGACCCATCGTTTGAAAGAACACTGTCACGTAGTTTATGGCTTCGTGACTAATAATAACGGGGTTTTGGACTAAATGGCTTGATTTATTAACGCCTTATTTTACAATCTCTCTTAATCAGAATAAATTATAGCTCTATAGCTAATCTACCCATTTCACAAATTACTAGAACACGCTAAGTCTTCTCAGGCTTCACTAATCATATCCTGGCAACTTTCAACGGATAACTGAACTGAACTGCACTGACAGCTATCGTTGGCTTCTTTTTATAAAGTCTCGAGCTGGACCAAAGCACATAAAACATCCGTTGCCGAGCAGTGGATATATGCGAACCACAAAAAACACCTATTGGGACGCTGGTTCCATTGTTGCATTCATAGCACCGTCGTACAGCAACGGAAGCTAATCGACTGTTTCCTGCGTATTCGTTACGGTGGGAATCTGTTCACCGACTCGTTGCCTAGAAACGGGTCTACATGTCACAATATGAACAAACTGTAATTACGTTCGTTTTCTATTCTTCCACCGCTGCATTCTGATTATGCGTCAAAAAAGTTCCCGGAATGGTGGTATACCACTCTAATGGTAGGACACACGGCAACGCTTACCTAACCACCTTCAAAGTAGGACCCTTCCGCGGACACACACTTGCTCCATCGATCCTGCCATTGTTGGAAGCAGTTGTGGAAGGTTTCTTTTGGAATCTTCCGGAGCTCACCCGTCGCATTCGGTTTGATGTCCTCCATGGTTGGGAAACGTGTCCCCTTGAGGCCCATTTTCAGAGTAGGGAACAGCCAAAAGTCACTCGGAGCGAAATCCGGAGAGTACGGTGGTTGAGTGATGACAGGAATGTTTTTCTCGGCGAGGAATTACTGCACAACAAGCGATGTGTGGCTCGCTGCGTTATCCTGATGCAGAAACCGCTGTCCCTGCCACTTGTCGCGCCGCTTCCTCTGCAAAACTTGCACGTAGAAATGGCCAGTAACAGTCAGTCCAGGCGGTACGAACTATGGTGCACCAAACCGTCGATGTCAAAGAATGCAATGAACATCACTTTGTCTTCTGACGAGGCGTGATTTTTTTGGCCGGATGTGTGCCACTCCGATAACTGCATCTTCGTCTCCGGGTCGTAGGCGAACACCAATGACACCAGTGACGATGTTTTTGAGAAACGTCGGGTCCTGCGTACTTTGGTCAAAAAGATCGCCAGGGACATCATGCGACATTCCATCTGATCCGTGGTCAGCTGCCTCAGAACAAACTTCGCATTGACGCGTCTCATCTTCAAATCATCGGACAAAATGGCATGAATGGATCCGTGAGAGATACCAACTTCTTGCTCCAAATCCGCGACGGTAATCCTTCGATCACAGTGAATCAGTTGTCGCACTTTTCCAATCATTTCTTCGGCTGGATGTCAAAGGTCTCCCGCTGCGCTGGTCATCCTCGAACGTCTCCTGCCAATTCTTAAACCGGGAAAACCAGTCGTAAATTGCGGATTTCTTTAGTGCAGTATCACCGTAAACTTGCTGCAGGGCCGATTGCGTCTCTGAAGCAGATTTTCCCAATTTGCACATGAACTTGATGCTCGCACGCTGTTCGAACTCCGACATTGCGCCGAATGACCAACACTCACGTCTAATTCAAACGGAACAGCGACGACACTGCACACTGAAACCTGTCCAGACCTGTAGCGCCTGCGAGCAGACACGCCTAGATCTCAACCACAACAATGTGTGCGCTATCTTATCGCTCGTTCTCCGTCTGCAGGGGAATTCCGGGAACTTTTTGACTGACCTACGTATAACGCCTCCATCTATTAAACTGAAGATTCAGTAGGTCTACAGTTTGTAAATGAGACGAGAATATTCAACCTATCTATGATAAAAATGAGTAACAATGTGAATTATATTTAACTGGGTCAGAATACGCAGGGCAAACGAGCCGAATATTTTACACCAGATATAAAGAACATATACAGGAATAATAACGATAATTCAGTGTATTCGAACCATGTACTGAGCATATAACAAACATATGGGAGTATTACCGACACAGTGAACATCACAAAAACATAGAGAAAAGGAAAAATCCTAAATATATTAGAAAAATGCCACATATATAAAATCAGTAAAAACAGACTACACATGAATGACGGATATACTGACATTTAAAAGCCAATATTCGAAACATTACAAAAATTAAACACTAGATAGCAGCACACACTGTATATAAAGGAGAACCAACCCAGCTTGGCAAATATTCGTTACAGCTATACACGACACACTAAGAGAACTACCCATCACCATAGGGTAAGTAAATATACATGCATATATATCAAAAGAAACACAAACACATCACACACAAAATACTACTACAAGATACTAATATATGTTACAGAAACATGCGTGCATAGGCGAGAGCATATCCTAAAAACTGAACTTACGACAGAAGCACACTAGTTTCATCAGCAATATTAGAGACACCTGCAGATGACCAATGTTGGTCGAAACATGAAGTATGATGTAGAAGAGATTTAATGTTTAAAACTTTTAAACGTTTTAAAAATCAATTTGAATGTGAGATGGCCATCTTAATATCATCATCATACTGAAACTTGGGTCTCTCTATAAGTCACTTCTTTCAAGTGTTCTTATTAAACCTGTGTACACATCTCCTCCTCAAGCACACAACATGCATTCCTTCACTTACCCAAACAATACACGGTGATTACAAATCATTAAGCCCTTCATTATGCAATTTTCTCCATTCTCTCTTTCAGGCCACAAGATTCTCCTCAACTTCCTATTTTTAATACACTATATTAGATATCCAGTCTCGCGCCTACACAAAATAACAGGCATAACCGTATTTCACTATTAATTTATAATTACTATTAACCATTCTACAGGCCTATAGAAAGAAACGCATGTAAGTCACCACGCATCGTTAAGTCCTCTCCAGAACTTCTTGTTGACACAGGGTACGGACTTTCACACCACAGGACCTACCTCTATTACAACTAACACAATAAATAAATATCGTGACGTCAGGATTTATAATAAGCAAGACCACTAAATTCTGGTTCAATGTTACTGGGTTTCCACACTTCTATTATCTAATATTCCGAACATAACAAACGTCTTCATATGGAAACTTAAGAAGCACCACCAAAGTTTGGTATGCCCTGCGATTATATGGGGAGAGAAAAGGCAAAAGAATGAGACACTCGAGAATATTCAATCCGGCACAATGGCAATTCTCAAGTATTCCTAATAATCCAAATTCGAGATTGTCACGACGGTGGCTACAGAGAGATACTCCAGCTTGCATTTCCACTTACAGTGTCTGTAACTGGATATGAGACAAATGAGTGGGACCCATACAGATTCGGTTTGGGTGCATACTTTAAGGCCGAGGGCACACCAAGGAAACTGGCAACTGCAATTTCTGAGATATGGTACCAACCTAAGTTGAACACATGTTCCTGAATGGAGCAGCGAAAACTGAGGAAACGGCAACGCAGTCTTCTCAGTTTGCGTTGCTCCATTCAGTAACATGTGTTCATCTCAGACTGATAACAATTCTCGGAAATCGCGGTTGCGTTGAGGTTGCTTTGCGGTTGCCAGTTTGCTTGGAATGCCCTCGCCCTAAGACACTGAGAACACTAATCACAGTTCAGGATGTCGTGTCCATACTTATTACGTCTTTCAGTAGGCCTCACCTAAACGAAGTATGTTTCGTGTCTCATAGTTATTGAACGTCTATAGTTTCCATTGGGCTGAAGCGTAAACACGGAAAATAAATAAAGAAGTGAGCTGAATTATCATTTCCTGACAATCGGTCACTTCGAAATAATTTCATTTACCACCCATGTAAAAACACTTCTTCAAACTTAACCCAAATACACACGGCAATATACGAAAGAACGTTAAGACAAGACACAGTTTCGGCAGTACCATTTGTCAGGTAAGACATACTTGCCCGTATGAGTAATTTCTATTAATTTAATTTTACTTTATGCCTATCAGTTACATTACTATTAAAATTAAAGCATTACCCACACCATAAAATTATAAATGAAAATAGGACGTGATTCAACATCAGAACAATGCAAACTCATGTTTTACCTCAAACGACACTGATCGAGACATGCTGGTTTCATCCGAGACCTACATGAACCACAATAACCACTCTGTCTACTGGTAGCAAGCGTTCAGACTACCTGCAAGTAAGCAATATGGAACTAAAAATGACGTATCCATGACATAACGTTACACTGATAGGAACACTTATCTAGAGTCATATAATTAACAAAAACGCTAACATGTTCAAGGTAAAAGCTATTCGCATCGAAAGACTAGAATAGGACATTATTTA